GGGCAGGGCAGGGCAGGGGAGTGCCGGGCAGGGCAGGGCCAGGCTGGGCAGGGCAGGGCCAGGCTGGGCAGGGCAGGGCCGGGCAAGGCAGGGCAGGGCCAGGCAGGGGAGAGCCGGGCAAGGCAAGGCAAGGCATGGCAGGGCCGGGCTGGGCAGGGCACCGAAATTGCTAACGGTGGTGCTCTCTCTCCCCAGCTCCAGAGGACTGTCCCGACCAATTTGTTTTGCGGGCTTGAAGTTTGGGAGCTGGGCGCCTGGGCCCTGCGCGGAAGCCCTTATGGACCATAGGTTGTGATGGCTCCGTCCCTGAGACTGTGTGAAGGGAGACGCGCTGTTTTGTTAGTTTGCTTTGGCGTCCCCTGGCCCAGATCCACTGGTGATGCCGCCGTGGGGCTGCCCACGGATCACACCCGCATTCGTTCCCCTTATCGGGGCACAAGCCAACTAGTGACTGGGGCTAGCAAGTAAGTTCCCCTAAGGACCGATTGTTCCATCAGTGCCCACCAGGGGGTGCTGCTGCACCCTTTGCCATGGGCGCTGACGGGGTCTGGCCTAGTCCCCTGCAATACACTGGGGTGCAGTGCGACGCGCTCGTCTCCAGCGCAGCTCACAGGAAGGCCGAGCGTGATCACGTGCTCTGAGCTCGGGTACAGCGCAGGCCTGGGACCTGCCCTGCAAGAATTCCTCTTTGAACTAGAGCCGAGCTTTGAGAAAAACAGCCCGTCTTGCTTTACAAATTGTCCGTGAGGGGGAATCCTCCACTCCCCTGGGAACCTTGTTCCAGGGGTTCATTTCCCCCCTTGTGAAACATTTATTACCATGATCCCTGCTGCACAGGTGGGGAAACCGAGGCACGGAGCGGCAACTCACCCGAGGTCAGACCTGTGGCAGAGCTGGGACTGGACACATAATCTCCTGCGTGCCAGGCCAGTGCACTACCCATTAGACTGCACTGCCTCTCTGCAATACAGGACAGGGGCCAGGTGTGTACAGAACTGGCCGCCTAATATCTCTGCCCCCAGCGCTTCATCCCGCACTAGGGCAATGCAGGACGGACGCTACGGCTCAGGAATGGGAGGCCGTCGGGGCTGCAGCTGCCTCCCTCTGACTCTGAGCACCCTGGAACGCCCTGCGGCGAGACGCCCGAGCGGTGACCCACCCGCCCGCAGCCTGGCCAGGAGCAGCTGGCTCCCGCCGGATTCCCCTCCACCCTCCCGGCCAGCTGCTAGCGCAAGCCCACGGCTAACGGGCCACATGGGGTGCACTGGGATGTGGAGGCTCTGATGGGGCCTGAGGCGTGACCCTTCCCAGCTGCCGGGAGATGGCATCTGACGGGCCTTTCTCGCTGCTAGTGCCAGGCGGCCCTGTCGCCACGTGGGGGCAGTGAGCTCCTGTCCATGCGACTGAGGGGCGAGCTGGAGGGGCGGCGGGGACCCAGGGACCCCGAGCCATGACGGGGGCCCCTCACGACGGGGTTCTGAGGGGAGGGTCCCAGCTGCCCCCGTCGATCCGACCTGAATTCCCACCTTTCGTTCATTTCACACAGGCCTGCAAACACGAGCAAGGCCCCACATCCCAGTCCCCACGGCCCTGAGCCCCAGTCCCCTGCCCTCGGCCAGATTAGAGCCCGTGCCCCCTAGAGGGGAGAGGCCCTTGTGTCCCATTCCTGGGCCCCTGAGCCAACCTTCAAGCGACCCGTAACCCCCCTCCTCCCCCGATAGTGCCCCCCTTGTGCAGTGAGTGCTGGTTACTTGGGCTGAGGGCAGTGCGGGCTGCTGGGGTGGGTGAGGGCAAGTCAGGGGGCAGCACAGAGCCTCTGGCAATGCAAAACGAATGCATGACTCTTGTTGCAGACGTGGAGGGGGGCGGGGGACTTGGAGGGGAATTTCCCAAGATTGTCCCAAAGCAGGTATCTGTTTGCTGGCTCTATGTTTATCCTGGAGCCCTTTGAAGACATCCCCTGGCACAGAGAATTCCTAGACATGTAGGCTGTGTCCTGTAGCCGGTACAGACGACTTCCTTTCTGTTAGCTGGAAGAAGGTGAAATCACTCACGGGGCAAGGGTCAATGTGGGAAGTTCGGTGGAATAGCCTGAAAACAAACATTTTCTAAATGTGACTCAAACAGGCAGGAACAGGTTTCATTCCGGGCTGAAGGAAAGGTTTGGTTTAAATTCGGAGTGATCGTAAACATTTTCTTTTACAGGAAAGGGAATTTCGAGCTGAAAAACTGAAACGGTTCCAGTTTCTCAGACCTTTGGTTTCTTATATTTTTTGTTTTTCCAAAACGAACCACGCAGCGAGACCGGCCCGAAGTCACAGAATGTCTCTGGGTCACCCCAGCCGCAGCTTTCACCGGAGAAGGGTTTGGTTGGCTGTGTTGTTTCAGCCGTGTCGGCCCCAGGATATCACCGAGTGATCGGAAATCTTCTTTTCTTTGCTTTAGAATTGTAATAACATTCGACCCCCTCGTGCTGCCCCTGGCGTCATGGCTACCTGGGTGAGAAAGTCTGGCCTGGATTTGTTTAGACTATTGGTCTGAGCAGGGGCCTGGGTGCCAGGACTCCTGGGTTAAGTTTCCAGCTCTGGGAGGGAAATGGGGTCCGGTGGTTAGAGCCTGGGGGCCTAGGAGTGAGGACTCCTGGGTTCTACTTTCAGCAGAGGGTAGGGAATGGGCTCTGGTGGTTAGAGCAGGGAGGGCTAGCAGGTGACAGGACTCCTGGGTTCTATCTCTGGCTGTGGGTGGGGAGTAGGGTCTCGTGGTTAGAGCAGGGAGGCCTGGGTGCCAGGACTCCTGGGTTCTCTTCCCAACTCAGCTACTGACTTACCATGTGGCTTTGGGCCTCATCTGACTTTCCCCCTTATGTCAACCAGAGACAAGAAGCCTGGCCTGTCTCCCCGACGTGCCCCGAGCCTCGACTTGCTGATGCGCATGAAGAGCTCTGGGCTCCTGGCAGGTGCAGCCCTACGAGGGGCGACGTGTTTCTAGGACGTACCCCGGGAGATCCAGCTCTCGCTCTGTTCTCCGGGCTGAAGGCTGGATCGGCCCCAGCTGGCCACTGCCCTGGGCTGAGGCAGCCAGGAGGTGAGTCGCTCATTTCACACCCTTCGAGGTCAGTTTCTAAAGCCGCCCGTCCCTCTGCAAGTGGGACCCCCAACGCCTGTGTGAGTGTGACGTTCTGAGTGTGATATAATAGCTCATTGAACGGTGACAGGGCCAGAAAGAGTTAATTACCTCCCAGACTGTCCTGACCCATGGCCGAACTTTAGAAACTGGTTAGAAAGATCTGTAAATGAATAGGGCTGTGAAATGCAAGTCTGCATTATTAGAGGTAGAAGGGGAGGTGTTTGCTCAGGGCTTGTGATGTCAGCAAACAAGTCTTGTCCATTGCTATAGCTTTAAATGCAAAGATCAAAAAAGGAATATTAACATTTGTGATGATACTTGAGGGAAATAGTATTATTGTCTCTATGTCTCTTTGAAGGTTGTGGTAACTTGGATCTGAACTGTGTAATGGATAAATGACCCTGTGCTAATTGCCAGGATGTTTGGGAGAAGGAGAGTTAAGCCTATTGTTTTCTCAGGCCGAAAGGCTGCTGGAAATGTATAAAAACCCTGGGACACGATCCTGCTGCATCTCAGATCTGCTTTGGGTTGGGAAACCTTAAGCCACAAGGATTGAGATCCCCAGTCACTGACTGGAGCCACCCTGAATATGGACATTGGACTATAACCTATGGACTATTTCTAAAGGGACTTTTGACAACTACAAGCTCGTCTCTGCTATGTACCTGAACCTCAAGAATTGAATTCAAGTCTGTCTGTAGATTGATCTTTGAACCAACTCTCTCTCTCTTTTCTTTTTTAATAAATTTTAGCTTAGTTAATAAGAATTGGCTCTAAGTGTGTATTTTGGGTAAGATCTAAGTTATCATTGGACCTGGGTATGTGGCTGACCCTTTGGGATTGGAAGAACCTTTTCTTTTATACGATGAGATCAGATTTTCAGGAATCATCATCGTATCTGACAGGTGTGTCTGGACGGAGGCCGGACGCTGGGCACTTTAAGGGAACTGCGTTGGTTGGACTCTGAGTAACCAGTGAGGTTCTATAGAAGCTGTTTTGGGCTGGTTGGTAAATCTAAGCATTGGAATATCCACCAGCGTTTGGGGTTTGTCTGCCCCGTTTTGTTTGCAGTTCACCCTGATTGAGTGACCACAGCTGGCTCCCACGGGCAGCATCGTCAGAGCCTGGTCTACCCTTAACCAGGCTGACATGGCCACGGTGCTCAGGCCCCACCCGATCGCCAGGACTGTGCCAACCTAATCCCCGGAGCAGCCGTGGTCGACAGGTAAAAGGTTCCTCCGACCTAGCTGCTGTCGCTGGGAGAGCTGGCGCCCTCGTGTAGACAAGCCCCTAGTCTAGAGCCCTCAGCAGCAAACGCCTGTCACACCTGGAGCTTCCCTGCCAGCGGGAGCCTGAGCCAAACTGCCTGGAAACAGAGCCAGGAAAGCAAACCGGCCACTGCGACCAGCCAGTTCCAGAGCTGGGAGAAGAACCCAGGATAGCCAGCCCCTGCTCTAACCACTAGACCCCTCTCCCCTCCCAGAGCTGGGGAAAGAACCCAGGAGTCCTGCCGCCCTTCTCCCCCCTCTCCAAGCTGTATGTGTGGTGCCCCCCCAGCCCATACCGCAGCCTCCCACCTGCAGACACAAACAGAGTTAACCCCCGGCCTGCTGGACAGAATCCCTTGTGTCCTACACGGTTTCTGCTATGGGGGCGGGGAGGGTCCATTACCCCTGGGTCAGGGCCAGGTGGGCACCACCTCGCCTTCCTCCCCCATCGCTGTGTTTATTTAGACGCCAGGTCCGGCTGCCCAGACAGAAATCCGGCTTCCCCTGGGCCACAGAGTTGGGTGCACAAATGCCCAGGAAATGCCCATGGCTCCGCAGTTCCCGGGCACCAGCCCTTGTGTCCCACTGCAGCTCCACGGACTGCACCTGACCCCTGCGGACTGGCACGGGGGCGCGGGCTGGCCCCAGAGCTCAGCCAGATGCTGCCAAATCACCGACTTCGAGGATTTACAAATCAATCCTCAGGCCACAAAAAAAATCACGAGGGTGACTTACAAAATCATGAGCTCGTTACACCAGCCATCGCTCAGAGCTGCCGGTGCCGGGACCGCGCTGGGCTTGGGTTTCCTAGCAGCGGCGATGGAGGGTGAGTGACTGCTTTTCCCTGAATGAAACCCGGACCTGTCCTGTCCGCACGTGACTCTGGGGGGCAGGTTCAGTCGGAGAAATGCCTTAAGAGTTGGCAGCGCTGCGGTTCTGTGTGTGACCTCCACGATAACATCTCGTTCGTCCGGCTCACGAACCTTCCTGCCCAGAGAAGTCACGCGCCCGGCGTCGGCCGGCTCGAGCTACCCAGCCCCATTCACTTGAACTGGCCTCGGCCGGCGCGGGGTCTGTGTGGGGTGGGGGCTTTGAGGAGGGGCTAGGGGGTGACTAGCCGCTGGGCTTGGCCCAATGGTCCCAGGGAAGGTGCCAATTCCAAGAGACAGAAAACCCAGCCACTGGCCAGCCCTCACCAAGGATACCGACCCACACTGGGGCCCACAGCCCCCCTTCCTGCCAGGTTAGGCAGTCACACAGGAGCCTCTGCCGTGCCCCCCACGTCTCCCCGCCATCCCCTGCAGGAGCCCTGGCTGGCAAGCCTGGGGTGTGTCTGGCTTCCCACCGCCAAGAAGGGCCACCGAGGGTCCAGCAGGAGGAGGGCCTGGCCCACTGAGCGGGACCTGGGTGCCTCCCGCACGCCCAGCAGAGAGGTCCCTGGGTGCTCTGAGGGCTGTGGGTGCACATGGCTAACCAGGCGTGCAAGCCAGAGCAAAACCACCTGGCACATCACAGCTTTTCTCTGGCAAACCCAGCTAGGAGGCACCCACAGTCCTGGGTCATGGCTGCGGGAGAGGGTGGACATAGGGCGGAATGGGGGTGTGACGATGCAGTTCTGGTGGGACCCAACTGAGAGTGCCAAATCAGGACAAATTGCTTAAACAGGGCAGTTACAGCCCAAGGCTGGCGTTTTTCCACCTCTAAGGCACCAAACCAGCCAGACAGTGAAGACTTTGGTCTCACCCCACTGGCTAACCACAAGTCACACAAGCAATTCCCTCAGACACTCCAGTTTCCCAGTATCACCACCAGTGCAACTCGTTACGGGGACAAATGGTTATGAAAACCAATACCCCAGTCAAAGAAAAAAGATTCTCTCGATCCCAAAGGACCAAGCCCCAGACCCAGGTCAATATACAAATCAGATCTTACCCACAAATCACGCTGTTGCCAATCCTTTAGAATCGAAAGTCTAAAGGTTTATTCATAAAAGGAAAAAGATCTGGATGAGAGCTAGAATTGGTTACATGGAATCAATGACATACAGTAATGGCAAAGTTCTTGGTTCAGGCTTGTAGCAGCGATAGAATAAACTGCAGGTTCAAATCAAGTCTCTGGAACATCCCCCGCTGGGATGGGTCCTCAGTCCTTTGTTCAGAGCTTCAGTTTGTAGCAAAGTCCCTCCAGAGGTAAGAAGCAGGATTGAAGACCAGATGGAGACAAGGCATCAGCCTTTTATAGTCTTTTCCAGGTGTAAGAACACCTCTTTGTCCTTACTGTGGAAAATTACAGCAAAATGGAGTCTGGAGTCACATGGGCCAGTCCCTGCATACTTTGCTGAGTTACAAGGCGTATCTGCCTTCTCTCCATGGGTCAATTGTATGGCTGATGGTCCTTAATGGGCCATCAAGCAGGCTAGGCAGAGCTAACACCAACTTGTTGGGGTCACTAGGCCTGCCTGAGCCAGAGTTCTTCCATGTTTAAACTCTGTCCTTCCATGTT